AATACTTTATTTAGAAACAAAATATAAGCAGCAAAGTAAAAACTCAAATTAGTATTTTCCCCCCTTTCTGAACATCAAGTCAACAGGATGTGAGACTAGGTAGAATGGCAGATACAGGCAAAAATCTAGCTTGTTAGTGGCAAGAAGAAGAAATAAAAAAGATGGTTAACACTGAAGGAATGACCCTGTAGTATTTTTTAAAGTAGCCCAGCCCCCCTTTTGTTACAAACCCTCAGGAGCCCAGGACCACAACTCCTCGCTTCCCTCCAATAGTCACTCACGCTCCACGATGTCACTAATGTAATAACTGAAGATGTGGGCCAGTTTGTCCATGTCATGTTCCGACTTGCAGGTCAGACTGAACCTGTCCATTAATGCTGTAAACCCTAGCCGACAAAACAAAAATTACGTTAGCTGAACTTTTGAGCTCTATTCCCTCTACGCCGCAGGCCCAAAGGAAGCAGATCTCCTGCAGGTGAGTAATTTCATTATCCTTGGAACAAGTGTTACTCAACGCAGTCAGGGCCACGCTGGCTGCTACTGCCTCTGAGAATCTGGAGAGCCACCCCCTCTGCGTTTCCAGGAGATGCAGATGAAGATTCGCCCACAAGCACCCCTTTCATCTCTAGCCAGCTACCACTTCTGCCATACCCTCTTACGCTCCCTGGCCAAGGGAAAAATGGGAATGACATGGGGGGATGGCTAAAAGCTTTATGGAGAGCGCAGATGCTGAGCTCCTTGAGGTCAGGCACCTTAATCACTCATCTTCAGATCCAAGACACAAACTCCATAAATATTTAAATGAGCAACTCTCAAAGTAGCTGTTGGATCTCTAATTCCTAGAGCGGTGGCGGGCACACACTTAAGGACGGACTCAAAGGAGGAATTCACTGAGCGAATAAAAGAACTGGCTGAAGCAGTATGCGTACTGGGAGAAGTCGTGGATTCAAAGCCTCCCATATTGCCCTGTAAAAGTCCTTCCCCTTTTCTGGGTCTTTCATTAACTTAAGGGTTCCACCAGACCATCCCGAAAGACGTCTCCCCGCTCTTAAAAAGACCGTCCAGGTTTCCCGAGGAAGCGGCAGCGACAGCCGTCAGGGCGCGCCTTTGCTCTCCAGAGGCCAAGCCTGTAACCGCCCCTCTGGCAAGGCGGGAGAGCGACGCTCCACCCCTCACCCGTCACGTGGACGCCAAGGAGGACGCCCTGGGCCGTGGCGAGCTCGGGTTCCGGTCCTCGGGGCTTCCTGAACACCAGCAGGTCGGGAAGCAGCGCCGCCAACCGGGCCTCTACTGGCCACAGAGAGGGAACCGCCGCCCGCTCGCCAGTCGCCATGGCGGCGGCGCGGTTGCCCGCCAACTTACCGGAACCGGGAGAGGGGGCCTCCACGTAGCAGCCAATCCGCAACGACAGCCCTGGCGAGTTCCTCCCACCAACCAATAAGTGCAGGCTTCCTCGGGGCCCCGCCCCACCTGCTTCTCGCGCCTGCGCTCTAGCTCCTGCCTCCCAGGCAACAGGCCTGAGGAGTGTAAGCGCTTTAAAAGGAGTCGGGGTGACACTTATAAGTCTGGAAATATGGAGCCTCTGACTTTGGCCCAGGGCATGATCTCCCGGTTCGTGGGCTTGAGCCCCGCGTTAGGCTCTATGTGGACAGCTAGCTCAGAGCCTGGAGCCTGTCTACAGATTCTGTGCCTCCCGCTCTGTCCCCCAGCCCCACTCACACGCTCTCTCAAAAATAAAAAGCAAGCAAACAAACAAAATCTTGCAACGCAAAGATGCTTCTACAATAAAACATCATCGCAGATAGTGTCAATGGGCGGGGGGGGTCTTTTCCTATCACCTATGAATACGTAAGGACAATGTTCGATTGGCATCTGACTAACGCAAACTGTGTGTGTGTGTGTGTGTGTGTGTGTGTGTGTGTGTGTGTGTGTGTGTGCGCGCGCGCGCGCGCGTTTTAATACCCTTAGGCTAAGCTTATTTAAGTCAGTCCTTTCCCCCTGGTTAGGTAGTGTCTCCTATTTCTTTTATCTGCCAGGACAGGTCTATTGGGTGTCTCTAGCTCCTTGCTCCCTGCATGTTAATAGCGTATCTGAGGTTGCCCTTCAGCTGCTCAGATTCTTGGGAGAACTCACATTACTAATAGGGTGAATGTGTTGTGAATTTTTAACAGGAAAGCATCCTTGTTTTTCTGCAGAAATAAAAGCAAAATCTAAAAATGCATCTTATCTTTAGTTCTACAATACCTAATCAACACCTATCACTGTTAAAAGGGTTCATTTTGTGCCTGTAATTACTTCATCAAATTCTGGTTAACACTTTCAGTAGTAAAGCCAAATATAGATCTGCACACAGGTGACGGGAAAATACCTCCTTAGCAGGGTGGAGGGCCAAAAGGGAAGAAAAAGAGATTAAAGGGAGACACACAACTAAGAGGCCTGCACACCAGAAGTTTAACACTGTTCACAGAGCTCCTGTGTGTCTACAAAAAGCACAATTTCAACATTACAAACACAGCCTAGAACCCAAGGAATGTCAAAATTCAAATCACTTTTTAGTATTTTTACAAATTTATTTTAAAAAATAACAATTGCAATGACATCAATGATTGATCATCTGTACTCCCCCCTACTGCTGGGAGAAAAAAACCTTTATAGTTGAGTCCCAAAGGAAAATCAAGACGTTATTATCAGGCACCCAACAGCCAGAAAAAGTTCTGTTGGTCCAGTGGTATAGACACTGACATGTTCAATGTACCAGTGCAATTAAAATATATACATTTACAATTATCTTGCCAAAAAAAAAAAAAAAACAGCACTCAAGAAGTGAAATAACTATGCATTAAACCAATTATTCACTCATCCATTCACTCTTTCTGCATCTATGAAGTCATCACTACAGTTACAAGGACAAGTAAATGAACTTTTAGTAACAAAGAAAAAAATCCAAACCTCAACCCACCACTTTGTGGGTTATTATGGTGTGCTAAAATGGCCACAATAAAAGGGCCATGAGCTATCTGAGCAGTGACAAAATGACAACTGAAGCATTTTGTTTCAAAGAAAGCAAAACTCAAACTCATGGAAAAAAAAAAAACTGTAACAATATGAGGTTGATATTACTATGTACAAACTTACAGACACAAATAAATAGCATTTTAGAACTGCTGTTGGCTTAGGTCTGATGACTTTCTTTCTGAACTCTGCATCTTAAAGACTCCTGAACAAAACAAGGGATTGAAATTCCTCATTGCTTTTAGTAAACTAGCATCTGAAAAACTTGGGGCTTACTGAATGAAGTCAATGTCTGAAACCTAAGTCAAGAGCCAGAAGTTTCTAATGAGCCTACCAAAGGGTGGGCTTCTCCTGATCTCTGGAAGCCAGGGCAGATGACTTAGATTCCAGGGACTAGAGAGATTCTTTCTTTCTTTGCATAGCTCTGTACCTCTATTTCTACCATTACAATTATTTCCCTTTGTGATATTTTCTTCAGAGGTTTAACTTCTTTTCCTTCTTAATACAATTAGGGTGAAATCAAAGAAAGTGCCAATCTTTGTTCTTGGTTATTTAAACCAAACCCAAATGTTCTTCAAAAGAATTCGGTCTTCCTTGTTATAGAGAAAGCAGCAACTTTTTTTCTGAAATCCTATCAGAGTTCCCCAAGGTTCAGCATCTAGAAAAGAAAATCGATTTCTGAGGCACAGTCCATTCTGGGAACTGTGGCCCTATTCCTGACCCTGCGGGCCATCACTACCACCAGTCTGTAGCTTATCCCCAGAAGGTGGATGCAATGTAAAAACCTTTCTGCTGGACAAGCCTATGTAGAAAAGGGGAAACATGGAAACTGGCACCAAAGAATCAGCTGCCAGGGGAATAAAGAGAATGTTTGCTCTCTGGGGCCAGCACAAAACAAAGTGCTGCAGGAGTGAAGCCAACATTCACCTTAAACTCGAGCAGGTAACCTGGAGTATGTCCAGGAGAATGTGACTGAACAGTGCTTTCCAGACAGAAATTGTCAAAGACCAGTTCTTGGACTTCTCCCTTTCCATGCGTTATAGTTGAACTGTAAGTTATTCTTTTCATAATCCATCCCATGCATCCATCCACTGGAGAATCATGCTATGTGACAACACATGGGTATATATACTACCCTCTCTTCTTTGCTAGACTGAAACACATATGAACCCTTCTATTCCCCAAATGCCGTCACAAAGCCTATGATTGAAAATCTCTAGTTTGGCTCTCTGTTTAGGAGTTACTACAAATGTCCTCAGCACTTCAGCACAGAAGTTGTTTTATGGTTTTGTTCTCTACTTAGGAAAGGCAGTTTCAAGGTCCAATACCCTCTACGTTGTCTTAAAAGCAGCGGAAGCAAGAAATACAGTCCAGATGATCTGTCAACAGACCACAACTTTAAAGTCAAGGCTTTAAAAAAAAGAGAGATTCAGCAATTTATAGATTTAGTGCTTGAGTCTTGTCATTCTATCCCCAGAGTTAGCTTTTTCTTGGCTGGAGTCCAAAAATACCAACCTACCATCTGGGTAGAAAGAGATTCCTATTATTACCACAGATTAGATGAATGTATCTCAGAGAATTTATTGTTTCCATATCACGAGATGGAACTTCCTTGCCTGGAGGCCACCTCTGAATACAGAGTGTCTGTTCAGTTAGTCAGCCTGCGATCCCCCGTCAGAGGGATGGATGCTGCTTAGATTCCATGGAAGGAGCGGGCTTTGGCTTCCCTGATTGCAGTCCTGGTGAAGGTTGTTCTCTGCTAAGATGGCTGGCTGGCTTCACTAGCCAACATAAGTGCTGTGTGTGTGCACTTATGTGCATGGGTCCCTTGCATCATCCTAATCCATGAAATGTCAATGTCATCAACAGTCTGAAATAGGCCCTGACTAAAAGGGCGAGACAAAGGCCTGCGACTTCAATTTGCCAGACATCACTGCAATTATAATACTGAGCCACTTATTAAAAATTAAGTGGTTTCTGTCCTGTAGAAAAGGGCAGAACATAATCGTCAGTGTCCCATCGGAAGAGGTGATCAATTTCCTGGAACAGTGGGAAACAGTGGCGAGGAACATAACCTTAATCTGCTCCCTCACGTGGCCTGGGGTTAGGACACTCGGATGATCTGTGTCATTGCTTCTTCATCTGCTTGGTTTGGATCCTAGAGACAAAGCATAATAGTGATTAAAGTCCTTTGTGAAAGCAGCAGGGAACTCATGGCTCTCACTCCTGACCATCACGGGAATACATACAACTTTGCTAAGTAAATCAAAGGCCTCTAATGCATCTAAGTCTACATATATGGATTAAAATGCAGCACCGTTAGGAAAGAAGAGATAATAAACATTTGTGTGAAAGGACTGTTAAGTGTGGCCTGGCAATCCATTTCCAAGCACTCCAGAGTTGACAGTGTATCTCTTTCCTAAGAGAATGTATGTTGTACTTACCCTTCAGGTTTAAGGGTCCTTATGTGGTCAAGAGGAAACCATGTCATGCTGTATTTTTATGCCTTGATTTTCTGATCACTGTATTTAGAGACTAAGCACTTAGCAGGGCTGGAAAGGACACTGGAATTTATTTATTTTAGCACACTCATTTTGTAGCTAAACCTGAAGCTGGATGGATAGTGATCTGCCTGGACTAGAGTGAGAAAGTCAGCTGCCCAGCTAGAACTGATACCCCAATCTATTGGCTCCCATTTAACCCTTTTTCCACTAAATTCTGCCTGCCGTCTCCCACTTAAAACTTCCAGTGTTAAGACAAGGATCAGTCCTTGGAAGCTTTCTGCAACACTCCACAATAACCACTTTCAGTTCTTGCACACCAAGGCTCTGAAGCTTCAACTGCCACAATCAAAGAAAAACCTGAAAGATTTCTGGAGGTAGTAGGACTGCAGCGGGGTCTTGAACAATGAGTAAGAACAATAACCAGCATTTACGGAGCCCTCACCATGCACTACATAACGTGCTAAGTAGGCACCCAATATAGCTTACTGCCTGGACTCTCCACCACAGCCCTGTTAAGTATCAACAGCATCCTACTTTACAGGTGAAGGAACTCAGGCCAAAAGTGGCTAAGTAAGGAACTTGACCAAGGTCCCATCGCTAGTACACAGAATTGGGAGAGTTCCTGGCATAATGCCCACAGATGGCACTCTACATCTGTACACCGCATGAACAAAAGAGGAAGAAGGAAGAGCTCTCAGACTGCAGGTAGGAATTAACAGCACTGAAGGAAGAGTCTGTGCTCATGTGTGGATATACTGAGGACTCCTAGTCTGACACTGAAAGGGGTTGCTTGGAAGATATACAGAAACAGTTTGGGGTCTGATGCAGTAAAAAATGAAAGCCAGCATGCATCCTTGAGCAGGGGACGAACATGATTAATTAACAAAGCACTAATTTAGGAAGACTGATTTGGCAATACTGCAGGTAGGCTGTAATGGTCACACAGAATAAAGTATCTGGAAATGGGGCGGGGCGGGGTGGGGGGCGGGGGGAGGAAATCCATTTATTCAACAAACATTTACCAAGTGTTTGTTCTGGACTGGGCATTATACTAAGTCCAATCACTACAATGGAGGACAAGCCTCACCTTGAGTCTCTACGCGGCTTACAGTCTAGTGAAGGAGACAATTACACAAATAAAACAAGTCGGTTATTATGATGCTCAAAAGAAAAGGAAGACGTGAAAAAATAATGGGGTAGAAGAAACCTACTCTGGCTCCAGTCTCAGATTTAAATCAAGACCTAAAAGGTAAGAAAGAGATGGTCACACAAGAAGACGGCAGTGAAGGGATGCCTGGGTGGCTCACTTGGTTAGGTGGCTGACTCTTGGGTTTTGGCCCAGGTCACGATCTCACGGTTTGCGAGGCTGAGCCCTGCATTGGGCTCTGTGTTGATGGCATGGACCCTGCTTGGGATTCTGTCTCATTTTCTCTCTGCCCCACCCCTGCTTGCTCTCTACTTCCCTCTCTGAAAAATAAATAAACATTAAAAAACAACAACAAAAAAGATGGGAATGAAAAGCTTTACAGATTAGCTATTTCCAAGACAAAGGTCCAACAGCAGAAGACAGACCAATGAACAGTATAGCGAGAGCATAAAGATAAAGAGTAGAAAGAATGAAGCTGGAGGTGGGGAGGAGCTGGATCACACAAGCGCCTTTTTGGCCATGGTAATAAGCACTTTGGATTTTAGTCTAAGTGCAAACGGGAAATGGCAGAGGGTGGAAGGGGTTTAAGCAGGGCAGTGATGGGAGATGACACCCATTTTAAGAAGACCACACAAAGACGTAAAGAATGGACCAGAGGGGCACAAGAATGGAAGAAGGGAGGAGACCAGCAGGCTGCTGTTACATTAACTGAAGCAAAAGAAGAAAGGATTTCTCAAAACTGACAGCAGTTGGAAGGGGAAAAAAAAAGGTAACTGATTCAGGTAATATTTTAGAGGTAAAACCAAGAGGACTTTTTGAAGAATTGGACAATTCAAGCTTTAGCAACTGGGTGCATGGACATGTCACGGGGATTGAGTACCTGCTTTAGGGATGAAAAACAAAATAAAAATCAAGAGTTCTATTTCATATATACTGATTCAGAAATGCCGGTAAGATACAATCAGTGGAATCAGATGCAATACAACAGTTACAAATTAAGTTCTGGAGTTATACTGCCTTTGAATTTCAGGTGCATCATTTTATTAAGCATTTTACCTTGGGCAAACGACTTAACCTCTCTAAGCCTCAGATTCAACTGTAAAATGGAAATAAGAATTCTCACCTCATGGGGCTTGAGGTTGCTCCAAAGATTCAATGAAATAAAAAATGCTTATAAAAGTGCTTAATGTAATGGCAGGTACATAGCAGTTAAGTGTTGGCTACTGGTGGCTGTGCTACTACACTAAGAGACAATAAAACTTATTCTTTTAAAATCAACAAAGATGAGAATTTCAAGAAGGAATTAATAGTAATAATCTGCAAAGATGGTGAGGAAAAAAGGCCACTGGATTAAATACCTTTAGTGCTTTAGGGCAAAAGAGAATCTAAGAGATAACAATGTTGCATTCAACATAGAACAGGTAATTAGTCCCTGGTGTGAAAGTTATAAGAGGACACTGAATGGTCCTCCTGAGAAAATACAAGGTAAAAAGAGAAGAATGAAATGTATAATCTACTTACCTGCATATGGGGACTATCCTTTTCCTTTGGAGAGAAAAACCGTCCACCTTCACCCCGCTTCCGAGCCATGGCGTGACGGTGCCGAGACTCATGCAGGTATTTCTAAAACGAAAGAAATAAAGGTACTAGTTGGAAAGAGCATAGTTACCTAATGCCCAAATTCTATGCTCTGAAGTTCAGGAGAGCTGCCATCAGAGCCACCAGGGGTAATTATGACCTTGAATTATGGAGGAAGCTTTGGAGGAAACACTAGGAGGAAACACTAGCAGCGGCTAACTATATATTAACTATCATAAAAATGTGAATGCTAATGAATGACAAAAACGATTCCCCAAAGGTAAAGCAATGATCACTACCTACACCTCCCCATATACGCTTCAGTAATAGACCAAATGGCCGTTCAGTAGAAAGACTGAATTTCCTGACCTTATTCGCAGTTAAGTGTGGCCACGTAATTAAGTTTTGGTTAATGAGATGTAAGGAACTTCTTCAAAATTTCCTTTAAAAAGAGTGCCTTTCCACAGGACTCCGGGGTGGCTCAGTCAGTTGAGCGTCTGACTCTTGGTTTCAGCCCAAGTCACGATCTCATGGTCATGGGATCGAGTCCTGCATCAGGTTCCATGCTAGGTGTGGAGCCTGCTTAAGATCCCCCCTCTCCTTCTTTTTCTCAACATAAATAAACTTTAAAAAAAAAGAGAGTACCTTTCTTGTTCCCCTTGTTCCTAGGCGGGAGCCCAAGCAGTCATCTTAGACTAGGACTAGCACACTAAGTTTATCAGAACAGTGAGAAAGGAAGAGAGAGCATCATGAGGATGGACTCTGGAAATTTGCTACAGGCTCAGGATAATTTCTCTCTGGACTGAATTTATGTAAGAAAATAATTAACTCTTATTTAACCCACTGTTACTGTTTTGTTTTCTAGTTGCAGCCACAGAGAGCAATATCAAATGCTAACTTTTTACAAAAGATCACAGCTCTTTACTTTCAATTGTTTGGAAAGTACTCAAGGAAACAAACCATATGAAAGAGAATTTCAAAAGTAGAACCCTGCCCTTTCTCTTCCTTCTCCTTCCCAATGGTATACACACCCTTCTTTCCTTTGGAATTTTCCCTTCAGCCTCTAGTTTAGCCCGGGCTTGCCTCCTCTTCAGTATACGGTGGTACTGTTTGGCATTCACATAGAGAGGCTCTTCTTCCAGCATCTCTGCCCCAGGGAGAGGGATTCTTTGGATAGCAGGCACAGAGCCAGCACCAGGCACCATCTGTGTGAAGAGAAAACCACAGCTTATTAAATAGTGACACAGGAAACATTTTCTTGGTCTCTGTTAAACTTTTTTTTCTAAATGCTATAAAAAGTAGCTTTCATACAGCACTTAAATGCAGATTCCCAGAAAACATTTACACTAAAAGGTCTTCATTTTAAACAAACATTCCAGATGATTCCATCTTGGGGGGCCCAGAAGCCACACTGACAAGGACACCAGCACGTCCAAATTCTTGTCCACCTATGACTCCATTTTCTAGAAATGTCTGCTGCCATCTAATGGTCAGGAACAGTAATCACAGAGAATGAAACAGTACGAAGGTAGGTAGGCAGGCAGAGGTTGACCAAGTGCTACCAAATGCCTACAGTTACAGAAACAATTTAATTAACAACTTAGCTTAGTATATAATTAAATTCTAATTTTTCTAAGCAAATTAAAACTAAAAACACTGTATAAATGTCTGAGGAAACCAGGAACAGATTCCCATGCCCCAATCCCTTCTCAACCTTTAACAACTTTGGATGGATGTGTTGATTCTTCTGGTAGCTTCCTCCACCTCTCTGCAGGATTCTACTACTTGTTCTTAATTTACCCATTTTAGGGACCGTGTACTACTCATCTTTCCCCTTCCCTATCTTCCTCATGTATTTATAGCACACATTTCTTGGCTTCTTTAAGAATTACAATCTAATTTTGAGTTTACTTCTTGTTTCCCTCACTGGGGGCAATGTATTTTCCACTTTCCAAAGGTCAGTAGTCTATGCCTTCATTATTTGAATTCTGAAGATTACACAAAAGCAGGTATTTCTGTTTATCCTCTGCTGTATTTCCAGCACCTAGAAGGTGCTCAGGATGAATTATAGTTCATTGTAATGTTTCTTGTAAAAGTAGATCTCTTTAAGTGCCTTAAGGATCAATTCAATCCTAAGTGGTCAGCAGCATCAACAAGCTTTATGAGAGACATCAAAGTGCAAGGTCAAAAAAACCTTCAATGACAAAAGAGACATATGGAAAGATAAATGACAAAAGAACAGTGAGGTGAAGAATCAGTTTCCTTACCATGACCATCCCTCCTGAATTGACCACATTGCCTGCCACTGGTAGTGTCACAGTGACAGTCCCCTGTCCACTGCTGGTGGTGTTGGTGTTGGCTCCTGTCTGAACAATCTGTGCTCCTGCCAAACTGGCTGCTGGGATGGTGATCATGCCTGAAACAGGGACTGTGACTTTAAGAAAATAAAACACAAAACAAACAAAAAACAGGTACACAGAAAGAAGGGAACACAGTTAGTCCCTCTTCTACCTGGCACACACTTCCTTACCCTGGAAAAATATACTACACAGCACAAGGGGAGAAGCAGCACTCTCCTACTCTGCCTGGTTTGCTGCATGTAACCCAAGTAATCATGATCCTTGATATTCTATTAAGTGTCTGGATTCCAGTTCTGATAAAACTTATCCTTGAAATGGATACCTCCCTGGGTATTCCAGTAATAGTTTTCAACAGCTGGTGAGAAAGTCTGGAGGCCTCCCCTTCTGCAAGTCGGTCTGCCTTGTGCTACACTCACTATTTTTGTATATATGAATGATCTGCCTCAGGACAGAGATTCTTTAAAGTTGTAATTTGTTTATCCTCAACTGACAATAGCTCAACCTGTTGCAGAACTAAAACTTAAAATTAAACCAAGCACTCCAGGCTCCCCAACTATCACCAGCACCACCTAAGGATTTGGCTCACCATTTTCTATTCGAGCTCCTGCCTGGGCTCAGTCCAGTTCTTCAATCTCAGGCCTTCTCCTGAGTCACAGGAGAGCACACTTCCTGCCCTCACTGGATCTTGTATACTGCTACATTTTAATTACAAGTCGAACGTTTAGTCCTGGACTCTGGGATGTCCCTTCCAGATTTAATGATCTGACAGATGCTTCCCAAAGCTCTCAAGTTCAGTTTGAGCCATCTCCTCTTGTCTGAAGTCCATTCTCCTCCCAAGCCACACAGATTTCATGGCTCTGTATTTATGCATTATCTAGTCCTAGAACCTACCTCTATAAAAGCTCCACGCTGCGTTTATTTGGTCACATGTATGTCTCCCATGATAGATTTAGAAGCTCTTCGGGAAGAAAATTTGTTTCTTAGTAAAGTAAGCATAGTGGGCATGTAAGTCTTTTGGACAGAAACTAATAATCAAGTTGGCCGGAGAGAAAAGAAAAAGACCATAAGCAGCAAAAACACTAAATGCCAACTTGACTTCTGATCTACTTCTTCCACTACCAACTATGAAACTCTCTATTTCCAATCTTCCATTTAGAAACATTTTTTCCCAGAAAGGATCAAAAGCTTATATCATCCCCAGGACCAGTCTTTAAACAACCACGGTAGGAACTCCTACAAATGTTACCATCACCGGTCACATATTAATGACAAGAAAACAACAACCAATGGAGACTTAGAAAAAATTTTTGTTGTTGTTCACAAATATGTTGGGCGGAGGTCACCACAAAATTTCTGAAGTAGTCATTTGCCCCAAGGATGAAAAAGACATGCTCTCCCAAGTCCTCTGGAAATGCAGATGCACACTTACCTTGCTGCAGAATGGTGCCATCTGCATTAACTGGCTGATAGACGATGGTCTGCCCTTCAGCAGTCTGAGCCACTTGCTGGCCCTGGACCGCAATCTGCTGCTGGGTCTGAAGGAAATAAATCAGGACAATTTAACAAAGGACCCCTTCTTTAAAAAAAAAAAAAAAAAAGAAGAAGAAGAAGAAGAAGAAGAAGAAGAAGAAGAAGAAGAAAATACAACATTTGTGATGGTTTTCTTCCCCATTTTTACTTACTACTTATGAAATATTTGCCTCAGCTGTCTGACCCTTTCAAATCAGCTGCGCTCTTGTGCTGACAGAGAGAATGGAATTACCTGGGTCTGGCCAGCAGTGACTGCCGTCTGGGGCTGCTGGATGATGATCTGCTGGGTCTGGCCCTGCTGGCCCTGCACCTGCACAGCCTGCCCGCCCTGGATCTGGATCTGTCCAGGTGGGACCAACTGTATCTGTGCAAGAGAACACAAAGAAAGGTTAGTACCCTGCTGGCGTTGGTCTCTTTTTGTCCTGGAGTATTAGTTATCCAAATTCCTCCAGAAAGCAAGAACGGCTCGGAAGCAGGTAAAAGAATCTTGTTCTGCTCTCTGTTATAAATTAGACATAAGTTGTTTGCCATTGATGAAACAATGGAGGAATTTTGGCTGCTGTCTAGATACAGGATTATTTTTAAGGAATCAGAGTCAGTTGTAAAAAAGATGATATAGAACCATGCCGGCATGGTTACATGTACTGTTAAAGCATGTTCATTTAAAAATACATTCTGAAGTATTTTTTAAAGATGAAATAATATATATATTCAAAAGAATCCTTGAGAGAGTAAGGGGATACAGATGCAACCAGAAGACTGATTATGTGTTGACGACTGTTGAAGCTGCAAAATAGGGATTTAGCACACAGTTCTCTTTGGTTTTGTCTGTTTAATGCCTTCTATAATAAAATGTTAAAAAACAATCAAGTTATTCCCAATTTTTCCAAGTGGGGGTCTATGAATATGTATATACAAAAGCTTTAAACACACAGAGAAATCAAGACTATCATCTTAGAAACCCATGCAGACATCACTCAGATTTAACAAGTTGCTTCATTTAACATTCCCTTCCCATCTAAAAGTTATTCACCGCATTAAAATGTGGTCATCCTTACAGAACATTTCACACACGTATATCCATAAAAACATATGGTACTCTTCTGCGTTTGTTAAGTTTCACATAAATAGTAACATACTGTATCTCTCTACAATTTGCTTTGATCAGTCATCATTTTCAAAATTTAGCCAGTTAACAACTAGTTCACTCATTGTTTAAAGTATGTATGTATTTTTAAGTAATCTCTACATCCACCATGGGGCTCGAACTCACGACTGAGATCAAGGGTCACATGCTCTTCTGACTGCGCCAGTCAGGCGCCCCAGAACTAGTTCACTCATTTTAATTGTCAAGTATCACAATAAATGTTTATGCTGTAACCTATTCATACGTTCCCCTTAATTGGGGATTTTCTCCAACAATCTTAGATTTATAAATTTTATTTTACAAAAAAAAAAACAAAACAAAGAATGCATATCCTTGTGCAAATATTGAGTTTCTGAAGTATTAAAAGTAGGATTCCTGTGTTGAAGGAGACAGGTGTGTGGTAGGCAGCCTCCAAAATGGTTTCCAGCTGCCTTCTGGTAATCACTTCTTTATGTGATCTTCCCCATGAGTGTGCTGCACCTACTGACTCACTTCTAACAAACAGAACATGGCAAAAGTAGTGGGACATCACTTTTGAGATTAGGTTACAAAGACGGTGACTTCCATCTTGCTGTTTCTCTCTCTCCGTCACTCACTCTGAGGGATGATAGCTGTTGTGTCACATGCTACCCTACGGAGAAGCTCACATGGCAGGAACCGGTGTCAGTGGCCAAAGTTGGGAAGGACCTGATACCCACAAAGAGCCACGGAAGTGGAGTTTTAAAGTGGATTCATCCCCGGTTCAATCTCCCTTGGACTGCAGCCCACAGTGCATCAAGAGACACACTGAGTCAGAGGACCCAGACAAGCTGTGCCAGAATTCGTGACCCACAGAAACTGTGAGATGATAATTTGTTTTAAATCACTAACATTTAGGATAATTTATCTGCAGCCAAAGATAATTAATACACGTGTCCGATTATATTCCTCCTACATCTATTTTCCAACACCCTAACACCCAGTACTGTCTAGTGTTTGCTAGTTTTGATTTAATTTGCATTTCTAATTTGATTCCTGGATTTGGACAGCTAAACCTCAGCTAACGATTTTGGACAGAGAGGGAACCTGTGCTTTTCAAATCTGTTTTCTTTCATTTCTCTTTTTAATGGCTATGGCTAATTTATTAGAAGTGTCATCATAAATGCGACAAGAAATCTGAAAAATATTTAAGTTTTTTATAATTAAAAAAACTAGTAACATTTTGACTGTTGGGTGCACAGAATCCTGTTTTCATGTAACAGCAAATGTACACATTTCTTTAAGAACAAAAGAGAATGCATTTAGGAAGGCCCCACAACTCAAAATTTCCAGCATTTTATATACAAATTCACACCTAAGCAACAGCCAAGGGTATAGAGCAAAAGTTTCTCCTAACAACTCCTTCATCTCCCTTCTCATTAATTCATTCATTCCATCACCAGACATTTTTGATCTGGGTGTTATTTCAACAGAGTAGGGATTTTTCCCCTTCATTCTGTTACTGTAGTATATATCACACTGATCAATTTTCTATGTTGAAGCACTCTTATCTCTAGGAATAAATCCCACTTGGTCATGGTGTGTAACTTTTAACATGCTCTGGATTTGGTCTGTTAGTATTTTGAGAAGATTTTTGATCAATGTTCATAATGAATATTTTTTGGTAATGTCTTTGTTTGGTTTTAGAATCAGAATAATGCTGGCCTCATAGAATGAATTACAAGTGCTCTTTTCTAACTTTAGGAAAAAGTTTGAGAAACTGTATTCGTTTTTCAAATTTTTGGTAAAATACACCAGGGAAGCCATTAGTGCTTTTATTTATTGAGAGATTTTTGAGTACTGATTCAAGCTCCTTAGAAATTATAGCTCTATATTCTGGTTTCTCTTCAGATCGCAAAAATCTTTCTCCTTTTACTAATTGTGGGTCCATTTAGATCTTTTCAGGTTTCCTATTTCTTTGTAATTGAGTCTTGGTAGAGTAGATTTTGATTCTAGGAATTTGTCTATTCTTTTAGTTATTCAATTTGTTGCATTTGGTTGCTCATAATACTTCCTTTTTCAAGATTATATTTCAATTCTAGTTAGTTAACATAATGGTAAAATTAGTTTCAGGTATAGAATTTAGTGATTTGTTATTTACATATAACACTCACTCAGTGCTCATCCCAAGTGCCCTCCTTAATCCCCATCACCCATTTAGCCCATCCCCTTACCCATCTCCTTCTATTGACTCTCAGTTCTCTGTAATTAAGGGTCTCTTACTGTTTGCTTCCTTTCTTTCTTTTCCCTACGTTCATGTTTCCTTAAGTTCCACATGAATGAAATCACATAGTATTTGCACTCTAGCTCCATCTACATTGTTGCAAATGCAAGATTTCATTCTTTTTTTAAAGTTTATTTATTTTGAGAGAGCACAAGTGGGGGAGGGGCAGAGAAAGAGAGAGAGAGAGAGAGAGAATGAATGAATGAATCCCAAGCAGGCTCTGAGCTAACAGCAGGGCTCAATCCCATTAACTTTGGGATCATGACATGAGCCAAAACCAAGAGTCAGGCTCAACCAACTGAGCCACCCAGGCACCCCAAGATTTCATTCTTTTTGATGGCTGAGTAACAACATTCCATTGTGTATATATACCACATCTTTATCCATTCATCAGTTGATGGACATTTGGGCTCTTTCCAAAGTTTGGCTATAGTTGATAATGCTGCTGCTATAAACATTGGGGTGCATGTGCCCCTTCAAATCTGTATTTTTGTATCCTTTGGGTATATACCTAATAGTGTAATTGCTGGGATGTAGGGTAGTTCAATTTTTAACTTTCTGAGGAAACTCAATACTGTTTTCCAGAGTGGTGGCACCAGTTTGCATTCATTCCCATCAACGGTGCAAGAGGGTTCTTTTTTCTCCACATACTTGCCAACACCTGTTGTTTTTGATTTTAGCCATTCTGACAGGTTATCTCATTGTAGTTTTGCTTTGCATTTCCCTGATGATGGGTGATGTTGAGCATCTTTTTATGTGTCTTTGCCATCTGGATGTCTTCTTTGGAAAGATAACTTGATTATCTATTTTTGGGGTGTTAAGTTTAAGTTCTTTATAGATTTTGGATACTAACCCTTTATCTGATACATCATTTGCAAATATATTCTCCCATTCTGTCAGCTGCTGTTCAGTTTTGTTGGTTTCCTTAGCTGTGCAGAAGCTTTTTATCTTCATGAAGTTCTGATCATTTTTGCTTTTGTTTCCCTTTCCTTCGGAGAGGTCTTAAAAAACTCTTATGGCTGGGGCAACTGGGTGGCTCAGTTGGTTAAACGACTGACTTCTGCTCAGGTCATGATCTTATGGTTTGTGAATTTGAGCCCCGCGTAGGGCTCTATGCTGACAGCTCAGAGCCTGGAGCCTACTTCAGATTCTGTGTCTCCCCCTCTCTCTACCCCTCCCCCTGCTCACACTCTGTGTCTCTCTGTCTCTCAATAATAAATAAACGTTAAAAAAAATTAAAAAAAAAAGTTCTTATGGCTGAGGTCAAAGAGATTGCTGCCTGTGTTCTCCTGTAGGATTTTGATGGTTTTCTTACAATTAGATCTTTCTTTGATTTTTAATTTGTTTTTGTGTATCATGTGAGAAAGTGGTCCAGTTTCATTCTTCTGCATGTTGCTGTCCAGTTTTTCCAATACCATTTGTTGAAAAGACTGTCCCTTTTCCACTGGATAGTCTTCCCTCCTTTGTCAAAGATGGCAGGTGACCATATTGTTGTGGGTCCATTTCTGGGTTTTCTGTTCCATTGATCTGTGTCTGTTTTTGTGCCGGTTCCACATTGTCTTGATGGCTACAGCCTTGTGATATAGCTTAAAAGTCCAAAATTGTGATGCCTTCCGCTTTGCTTTTCTTTTTCAAAATTGCTTTGGCTACCTGGTTTTCTTGTGTGTGTGTGTGTGTGTGTGTGTGTGTGTGTGTGTGTGTGTGTGGTTCCACACAAATTTTAGGATTGTTTGTTCTAGCTCTGTGAAAAATGGTGGTGGTATTTTGATAGGGATTGAATTACATGTGTAGATTGCTTTGGGTAGTATACAAATTTCTACAAGATCTGTTCTTCCAATCCATGAGCATGAAATGTTTTTCCATTTCTTTGTGTCCTCTTCAATTTCTTTCATAAGTGCTCTATAGTTTTCAGAGTACAGGTCTTTTACCACTTTGGTTAGGTTTATTCCTCGCTGTCTTATGGTTTTCGGTGCAA